CGCCCGACGTGATGAAACGCAACAGGCTCCGCCAGAAATGTTTTAAGACAATTCCGTGGAAACCACAGAAGGTTCTTAGAACATTGTCTGGTAGGCCTGTAGGCGAGCCAGGACGCTTCGCCACTGCTTGACCATCTGCCACTGAGGTCCAACGTTGCGAAACAAGTGGCGAGCATCGCGAACCATCACGACCAGGGCCCCAGACCCCATCACCTTCCTGCGGCATTTTCCGAGCCGCTGGACCGATCCGTGATGGTCGCGGAGCCCGCAGCGGGGCGAAAACGTCCAGCGTGAAGAAACTGCAATGCCTGGGTCTCGGGAGGAGGAGGAGGAGGAGGAGGAGGAGGAGGAGGAGGAGGAGGACTTGAGCTTAATCGAGCAGCAAAAATGGGATCGGAGGGAAACGGATCGGATCGGATCGCCAACGAACCGTCACGCACCGAGTCGAACTCGGATCGCCGCGCCCGGCCTCGGCTGGCCTGGGCCGATCACGGCGAACCGGACGGAACCGACACAGCTCAAGCCCAGGTTAGGTTGGGCGCGATGCGTTCGCCGAAACGTGGACCAACACGTGCCGAGCCAACACGCAGCGGGTCAGCACGGGCGCTTCAAACACGGCACGCGCTGCGGGCCTCCCTCGTAGCCTCCCTCGTCAGGCATGGGCCCACATGGAAGCCGCCCGGCGCACGCATACTGCACACGCGTGCACGGAGAGGCACAATGTAAGTGCGACTGATGGCACGTCTGGCAAATCAGCGAGGACAGACGAAGAAACAAGTACATGAACATAAACTTTTGGCGCTCCGCGCGGATTTCTTGGACCTGAGCTGGACCTCCTTCTCTGGCGCGCAGAGCGTGCCAGGGGCGGCGCGGGAGGCGCCGCGGGGGGGGGGGCCAGCGCGGATCCAAGAAAATCGCGTGGCGCGCCAAATCAGTTTACGTTTTATGCCTTTTTCTTATCTTCGAGAGGGGGGCCACACGAGGAGGGAGGAGGAGGAGGAGGAGGAGGAGGAGGAGGAGGAGGAGGAGGAGGCAAAACGAGCAGGAGAAGGAGGAGAGGGAGGAGGTGCAGGTCAACTGCGGCCCAGGGGGGGGCCCGTTCCTCCCGTGCGGGGCCCTCGAAGCGGGGGCGCGGCCCCCGCCAGCGAGTCGAACAGCACCGAATCTCGGACCATCGGCGGCCCTGCACGGCGAGCCTGCTCCCTGCGCCTGGCCGCGGGTCCCGGTCTTGCTCCTGGCCCCCGCCTGTCGTGCCAGCGTCGGGGGACGACGACGACGACGACGACGACGACGACGACGACGACGACGACGACGACGACGACGACGACGACGACGACGACGACCCGGCCCGGCCCGGCCTCGTCTCGGTGCCCTCGGCGGGGACGGCGAGCGCGTCGCCGACCGAGAGCGGGCTTCTGGCGGTGCGCGCGCGGGGCCCGGCTGGCGCCGGGGCGTCGCGTGGGTCGCGCCTTTGTTGGATCGAGTTCAAGTGAGAAGATGACGAAGAAGAAGAACAATAATAAGGAGACGCATGCTAATCATAATACTCATAAGATTACGAAGAAGAGTGATACCACTAATACTAAGAGTGATAATAATACTGCTGATAAGAAACAATAACACTGATACAAATAGTAATAACAATGATAATAATATTAATAAGGCTGAGCAGAAAATTAATAAGGCGCATAAAAAGAAGAGGCTGCGCGTTTCGCCTCCGTTTTGTCGCAGCTCGGAACTGGGCAAAGTTGAGCGATGTTTTGAACGTTACCATGCTCTTGGATAAATTCATTGGTCCTTCACTCAACTTTGGTGTGCCCGGGGAGCGGTTGGTCGATGAGGGCGGCGCCTTCCTGATTATGCTGATGCGCTTGTGCAACGGATGCCGTTCAAGAAGTGCTTCGGCCACCTTGCAATCGATCTCATCATGGGATCGCGTGCTCTGGCGCCGGTGGTATCGAGGAGGGTGTCTACATTGAGAACGCGATGTAGCGTCGCGAGGATGCTCCCGTATGCTCAACGCGGCGCTGGGGTCGCAGACGCTTTGGCGGCGATGTGGGCTGACGGCGGCTTCGCCTACGCCAGGCAGCAGTTCGACACGGTCGTCGGCACACCGGCGCAGGCTTTGATGGGCACAGCGAGATCGGGCACCACAGTCCGGCGGTCGAGGCCGATCACGCATCTTTTGGGGCCCGGCCTACACCGCACCCATCTCCCAAGCGTGGTGGTGCACACGTCGGTGAGGATCTACACCTGAAGGGGCCCTGGGACACACAAACAAATAAACACAAATAACAGGATTCCAAATATTTTCCTATATTTTCTGGGTTTTCGTCTTCCCCCCCACTTCCCATATTTTCCCACATTTTCTGGGGAATCGACGATCACTTGTGTCTGTGTGTTTTTCCCCCTCCTGAATATCACAATGTTGCTTGAAGGCCTGTCTGGCAGAGTCTCTTAGAGTCTGTTTTGTCCCCTCATGAATATCACATCATGACTGGCAGAGTCTGTGGCTCCGCCGCGCCGCGCTGCGATCTGGCCCACCGGTGTCCATGGATCGCGCGCTCGGCGTCCTCGGCATTCGCTAGACGGGGACCGCCTTGCTGAAGTACAGCGATCGTGCCTGGTTGGTGCCGCCCAGGTGACCAAACGACTGCATGATCGCGTTCTTCTACGCTATGCTGTCGCTGGACAGGAGGCTGCTTGTCGCCCCCGGGACTTCGGCGGCCTCGAGGGTGGCCTGTCTGAAGAGAGACCGACGCGTGAGCGTATGTATTGGTCGCAATTTCACTACGGGGGGCCCGCCCCTGGCACTGGAGGGTTGTGGACATCTTTGAATCTTTCCGAAGGATTGCAAAAAACCCTGGAGGGTTTTTTGCAATCCTCCGAAGGGTTTTTTGCAATCCTTCGTTCACTGGAGGGTTTTTTGCAATCCTTCGGTTTTTTGCAATCCTTGGTTTTTTGCAATCCTTCGATTTTTGCAATCCTTCGATCCCTTTCCACGATCACGAGGATTTGTGCGCACCTTGTGGCCAGGAGGTGGGATCTGTTACACATCGGTTGCGGCAGTGTCGATGCCATGCGGCAGAGCAGCGAACCCTGCGTGAGGTGGTGCCTGCTGAAGCACGGCCTGATACCAACTGCATACCAACTGCATACCAACTGCATGCTTGGCGTGGTGCGGCCTGATACCAACTGCATACCAGGGCGGCACCCGACCATGCTATTGCAATCTCTTCGTATCTGTTACGGGTGAACGCCATCGCTACGCAGGCATTGGTGGACCGTCGAAGCGGGAAGCTGGTGGCGTTTGACCTGGCGCTGCCGCGGTCGCGGCCCTTGCAGGAGATGTACCGATGGGTTCTGCCGCCGCTGAAGAGGATCAAACCCGGGTTTGGACCTCAACCCCTACGGCGTGCTCACTGCGAGCTTTCTCTTCCTGTTCAACCAGCCCGTCATGCTTGTCATCGCCCTGCTGGCATTGTCGTGTCGTGCGACGGTTCCTCCAAGAGCGTGGACGGCGAGGAGGTATCAACGAGGGGCAACAATAGGGGGGGACTGGCATAGGGGGGGGACGCATCGACCTGGAATCGGCGATACGTCGCCGATGCATCGGAAATTGGCCTCGGGTAGTGAATCCGCACGTCCCTGGGCAGGCTGGGGCTATCGGGCCCCTATCGGCGATCAATGATCAGTGGGCGACTGGGGGCCGATGCGTCCCCCCCCTATGCCTATCCCCCCCCTATCGTTGCCCCTGAATCAGGCTGGGGCTTCACTGTGCCTTGCCCAGTACGGCGCCGCTGCCGGATTTCTGCAAGCCCGCCATCACTGATGCCACTGCTCCTTGCCATACCAGTGCGGGCAGGCACTCAAGCAACGTCGGCGAGCCGAGCGCCAGGTTCTACGCTCTGTCCCTCGTCGTGATCACGTCCGTGCCTCTTCCTCTTCTTCTTCGTCGTCTTCTGCATTTTTTCGGAGGCGCGCAAACATGGATGAGCGATTCATGGATTTGGCGCGCGGTCGCCAAATCCATGGATCGGGGGAGGTGCCCTCCCCAAAATGCGGCCGGTGCCGGCTTGTTCGGGGTCGGAAATCCGCGATTTCCAATGGAAACGGGACCCGTCGCTAATCCACGCCCCCCTGATCCATGTTTGCGATCGCCTGATTATTGCATCGAATATGACTCGGAGTACGCGGCCAACATTGCACGCACACTTCCGAAAGCACGCCAGAATACCAGGCTAGCGCTGCATTTTCGGCGACCGGTTGATGAGCTTGGTCAATGCCTAATGTTAGGACGATAAGAATCTATTGACACAAAGTGCTATTGATACGTTCCGGGGATTCCGGGATTTCTAACCGCCTTCGCGTGGGGTGCACTTTGCGTCGAGTATTGTCTACTCTGGCTGGCGCCGCTGGTCGGTCACCCGTTCGCAATCGAGTGGTCGCCCGTATGGGGGCTATTTGGCACTTGCTGATCCCCTTCTCGTTGCCGAGCGCGGGTGGGGCGGTGGCGCGCCGTCCCATCGCCCGCCGCCGCGCACCGCGCGCCTCGGCGGATTCTCAATGACCTGGTCAGGCAAATCGCGCGCGACTCTGGACAATTCTCCGGGGGTAGAGTTGAACAAATCCCGAACAGTTTTTTGAACATGTCTGTCCTATTTTGAAAAATAACAGAATCGATTTTGAAAATTTCTGGGGTCAATTCTGAAAAAAAAAAAAACTGGAATCCATTTTGAAAAATTCCGGATTTCAGAATTCTGCCAATGTCCTGCGCGGCGGCGCATTCCACCCCTCAAAATTATTATTTGAAAATTTCCGGGCCCCTTTATGAAATTTCCGGAACCGCTTGCGCTAAAAAAAGGGAAGCCTTTTTCTGAAACATTCTACAATCCAGAAATAATTTCCGGGCGGTCCGACGGGCGCGGCCCGCCGATTCACGCACAGCGCAGCGCGCGATTGGGCGCAACGCGCGCCGCGCGTTGCGCCCGCGAACAGCACTCGAAGGTGCTACTTCGAAAACAGCGCCACGGCAGCTGCGACTCGCGGTCTTCTCCCCAAGAGCAACACAGCATGCAGCTTGGAATCTCCGACGGCGCTCCGATGCGCGAAAAATGCACCGCGCACATCACGCAAAGAACCTGCGCGACGGAATGCGCTCGACCATTCGTCCCTGGAGCCCGCGCGGAAGAACAGGAAAAAACCTGGAAATCTTGAACACGATCAATATCACTACTTCATGCCCCTCTGAAGTGTGGCAGAAGGTGGAATCTCGCATGGGACTGTTCCTTAACGACCGGGCTGATGAACTCGCAGATGGTGGTGCGAGTGGACTCTTCGGTGGCCTGCCAGACGCACGGAGGGGAGCAAGCCCAGCAAAAGCTAGGCATCAAAATCTGAAGTCAGACAGCCCCTGGCTGCGTCCATTCACGCGTTTCCCGGGGGGCTCTTCGGGCCAAACGCTGCCCACGGTGCAGCAGTGACCGAGCATCGTCGACGCCCGAGACCAGGAGGCGGAGCGGAGAGATGCAGTGCGCAGTTTCTTTTTCGCTGTTCCACAGTCCCTGACCCCCTCGAGTAATGAAATACATGACGGGAGGTTTTTCCTAATTTTCGGCCTCCGGGGGCCCTCGCCGGGCCTCGGGAGCGTCAAAAAACGACTCAGGATGCAAAACCGGTCATGGGGAAAGGGTCGGGACCTCTGGGGGTCGACGTAATGGAAAAATCATTACGTCGGGGGTCTGGGGTGGGGGCCTGTTGGAGCGCTGGCTCCCCCGGCGCGCGCTGCCGACTGCCGCCGGCGTGCCTCCGGCGGTGCGCGCGCGGGAGCCCGGCCGTGACGCCCCAGCAGGCGGCCGGGGCAGGCGTCGGGCAGGCCCGGCGCGGGCGCCTCCTCGCAGCCCGCCGCGGGGCCGGCCGGGCAGGAGGCCTCCGGCGCCACGGCCCAGCTGACCACAGCCTGTTTTTCTTTAGATCCAAGCAAGCTTACTTGCATGGCGTTCGCCCCCCCCCCCCCCTCTCCCCCCTCGCCCCTCTTCAATCGAACACGAGCGTGCAAGTGCCTTTCGACTTGCGTGATTTCCGCACGTCGAATTGTTTTCGGCTTGCTTCAGACACAGCCCCCCCCCCCCCCCGCCCACCCGTCCGTGCAAGTAAACTTGCCCGAGTCCAAAGAAAAGCAGGCACCAGCGGGCAGGCCCGGCACGGCGGGCACGCCGGGCACGAGCCGCAGGGGGGCTCGCACCGCAGCTCCGCCGCCGGGCAGGGCGGGCAGCCAGGGCAAAAGGGGGGGGGGCAGGAGGCCCAGGCCGCCCCCAGCTGCCCCAGCCAGGGCCCCGCGGCGCAGAGGGCGCCCAGCATCCACCGCGGAAGCCAGGCCGGAGCGTCCCCCTCCGAACGGCTTTTGAGCCACCACATCACCAGGGATCGAATGCATCTGTTTATATATATGTATATATATATATATATAGGTGTATATGTATATGTATATATATATATATACAAACGATCAAGAGGCTCCGTCCCAAGAACACAAGTCGGACGACAACACATACGTATACATGTACATACACATATCTATATACATACATACACATATATATGACTTCCGTGAGAGACGCTGGCAGCATGCTAGCACTATTGCGCTGCTTTGGCTGCTGCTCTGTTTCAGTTCAGAACCGTTGCCAACCATGTGCTTGTCCGCCTGCGGGACCCAGAAGACACGCGCAAAAGACAGCAGGTCGTGCCGACCAACCTTCTGTCCCCCCGCCGCCTCCCACCTCCGCACCACCCATTCGCCCGATTCAGCAGCGACGACCTGCGCAGAAAGCGGCAAGTCGCACCGACGGAACCCTGGGCCTCGAGCCTTGAGATCCGGCGTTGCGACAAAATTGCACGACCGGAGCCCTTGACCCCATCTTGCTGCTGCGTTTTTCAAGGTGGATTGATCGTTCATGGCCCTGGAACCCGAAACCGAGCGGGAACGCCCCGTGTGAAAATTGCAAGGCCCGGAATTTCACGGTGCCCCGCTCCTCCGTTCTCCGTCCCTGCTTCCGCTTCAAACAAAAGGCAGGCCGACACGCCTGCGTCGGAGTCGGCGCGGAGCAGCTCGTCGACCCCTTGCATGTACGTCGCTGCATTCCTCGGGCTGGCCGCGCCCAACAAGTAAAATAGCCGGAGGGGAGAGAGGAATCGGTAGCGCGTGTCGGGGGCAGTCGGCGCTCATGAATATTTGCTAATTCGGCGGGATGTAAAGGGGAGGCGGGTCCAAGTGAATGCCAATGGGATTCTGCAACGTAGCTCGCCAGAACAATTGGACGATTGGCATCCGTCGCATTCGGGGCCGAGCACTCGAGGACACGCGGCAAGCGGGACACCGCGCGCACGCTAGAGCCTGAACAAAAAGTAAGATCACATCACGACGCATCGGCCCTCGAAGCGATGTGCACTCAAAGGGTTGTGTCACACTTCACGCCCCCTCAGGGCCCCTCGAAGATCACCACTGCCACCTAGCCCTCCCGACCCTCCCACCGTGCTGCCACTGCCGCCCCTCCCCGCACCTCCCACCGCGCTGCCACTGCCACTGCCGTCCCTCCCCGCTCCTCCGACCATGCTGCCGCTGCCAGGCCCTCCACTGCCGCCCCTGCCGTCCCTTCCCACTCCACGCGCGCCGCCACTGCCGTCACCTCCCACTCCTCCCACCGTGCTGCCACTGCCGTCTCTCGCCACTCCTACTGCGCTCCCTTCTCGCACGTGCCCGTCGCCCACCTCTCCCTGAGCAGTGGCCGCTCTGGCTGCCACTGCTCCCTGCGCTGCGCCAGAGCTCGCGGCCAATGCCTGCCCTGCTCGCACGTGGGCTCCATCCTCACCACCCACGTCTCGTTGAGCAGCAGCAGGGCTGGCTGCCAGATTCTCCACCAGCATGTCGCTGAGCAGCGACAGGGCCGGGTGCCACGCATTCTGTTTGTCTGTTGCTTGTTCTGCTTCCCTCCGCGCCGCGCCGCGCGCGCGCGGAGCAGTCGGCGCCGCGCGCCCGCCATGCTGCCGCGCAGCCCGCTGTGGCGCGCGCGCGCGCCCGTGGCCCCAGCCTGCTCTCGAAGCTGGGCCGGTCGAGCTCCGACGCCGCCGGCGCCGCCGCCGCTCCGCCAAAAGCGCAGAGTGCGCGCGCCCGGCTGCCCGTGCCGCCGCCTCGGGGGGCGAGGCCGCGGCCCCCCCCGCCGCCAGCCACGCCCGCGACCGCGGCCGCGCCCCACGCGAGCACGACCACGAGCACGGCCGGCGGCCGCGGCCGCGGCCACGATGTGAGCGGGCACCCGGAGAGCCACGGCCAACGACGCACGCCGAGGCCAGGAGGGTCTGCGCCCCGTCCTGGGGCCCGGGCGGGCCCTGGCCAGGCGCTGGTGGTGCACGCAACGTGTGGGCACGCAGGCCCGGAGCCGCGGCCACGGCGACCGCCACGGCCGCGGCGGGAGGACGCAGGCGCGGCCACTGCCGCGGCCGGTCAGAGCTCGTGACGCGCGGTTCGCTGGGTCGGCGCGGGAGAGGGCATCGGCAAGCTCCCGAGGTCTTGCTCCAAGCTCTTGGCCTTCACGTGCGCGAAACCCTCCAGGTCGCGTGCCATCACGCTGGGGCACAGCTCCTCCTGGACCGCCTCCACGGTCGCAGACCACTCAGCCAAGGACTTCGCGTAGCCCCCCGCCACACAGTCAGAGCCGTTCACGACGCTCGTGTAGCCGAAGCAGGCGTAGTCTGGCAGCAGGACCGCGCAGCCCAGGGCGAGGGCGACGTCCGAGCCGCGCGTGGCCGCCCCGTCGGGCCGCTCCTGCTGGATCATCCTCCGCATCGTCTCTCGAGGCTCGAACTTGGACTCGGCGGAGGAGTACGAGTGGCCCCTGCAAGACCTGTTGAACGGGGGTAGGATGGCACCCGCCCCAGCGATTGCCTCGATGGACTCCCAGCCCTCCTCGAACGACTCCAGCTGGCCGATCAGGTCCATCGGGCCGACGTTTCTCGTGAACAGGTTGATCGGCGCGACCTGCGAGGCCACGTGCCTCCACAGGAAGTGCATCGCCATGCGGCCCTCCACCAGGTCGAGCACCATGCGCGTGGCCCTCTCCTCCGAGCCGGCCTTCAGGTCAAAGTGCGTGCAGCCACGGCACGCGGCCTTCGCAGCCCTGATTATGCCGCCCTGCTCGTAGTTGGACCGCGCCGCCTGACTCCCCAGCACCATGTCCCCGAACTCCTCCGGCTCCCCCACAGTCAGATAGTACTCGATCTCGGCGACGCCGGAAACGAACCGCGCGGCCGGGTCCCGGACGAACGTGAACGCGACGCCGCGGGGGCCCCTGCCCTGGTCCTCCGCCCGCGCGATATCCTCGGGTGTGTCATGGTAATACTTGCCCTTCCAGCCCTCCTCGTCGCCCAGCGGGCTGCGCAGCGGGAAGAGGCTCATCCCCAGCATCTGGTGTAGGGGGTTCTGGTTCCGGCCCCTCCTCCATCTCTCCCGCTGGCCAAAGTGCCTGCGCAGGTTGCACAAGATCTCCGTGCCTGCGCATTTGTACACCTGGATGTACGCGAGGGCGTCACGGGGCACCGCAAAGCCAAACTTTAACGCCTCGGCCGGCACGATGGGGCCCGTATAGAACTCGTGGAGGTTGGTGCACGAATCCGCGGTGATCTGCCTGTCGTGTCCGCCGCCGAGGCTTCGCGCGGCAGTCTTCCACAGTGGCCACATCAGCCGGCACGCGGCGCTGTCGCCAGGTTGCACCTTCAGCATCGGCCGCTGAGGCTTCTTCGGCATGGGCTTCATCGCTTTGCCCTTGCCGCCGGCGATGTCGCCTGGCTCCGCCGCTGCGGCCGCCAGTGCAAGCGCCAGCGCCAGCAGCACGGGCAGCGCTGCCGCCGACTGCGGGGGCGACGGGGCTTGCATGGCGAGGGGGCTTGGGAAAGGGGGAAGGGGGGGAGAGACGGAGGGTGAGGAAAAACGCTTGAGCCAGAGGCTACGGTCAACAACTAGCCAAACACTCGCGCGGTAAGAGAGTTAATAGTCATAACAAGAGTGCGAAATGGATGGTGAGAAAAGCCACGAGACGATGGACGGCCTCGGAAGCAGCCGCGATGCGCCTAGAGGGCTCGAAGAGGACCCCCAACAGGACCCCAAGAGGCGAACATCATATATTTTCATCGGATGTTCAATGTTCTTCGCGTCCTCGCCTTCTCGTCGTCGTCGTCGCCGCCACCGCCGCCGCCGTCGTCGTCGTCGTCGTCGTCGCCGCCACCGCCGCCGCCGTCGTCGTCGTCGTCGTCGCCGTCGTTATCGTCGCCATCGTCGCCATCGTTGTTGTCGTCGTCGTCGTCGTTGTCGTCGCCATCGTCGCCTTCGTCGCCATCGTCGCCATCGTCGTCGTCGCCGTCGTCGTCGTCGCCATCGGCATCGTCGCCGGCGGCGTACCCGTCGTGGTCCCCCGTAAGGGTCGGCGGCGCCGGCCGTAAGCTCTGTGCAAGAGACAAATACTTGCGAGGTGAGGGCATTGGGTTAGGTAAAGAACCGTGGGAAAAAAAGGCCCCAGTGTTTGGACGCTGATGGAACACCGACTGAGGCCTGGCCACGGACATCACCGCCGTCCTCATCAGATAAGGAATGTTTCAGGGTCTGAGGCCTCCGGGCCGGGTTCCTGAACGAATGTCCCGATCGAAGAGGCGTATTGAAATGGCAGGCCAAGGCAGAACAAGCCCAGGACAGTTCAGATCATCATCATCATCATCATCATCATCATCATCATCATCATCATCATCATCATCATCATCATCATCATCATCATCATCATCATCATCATCATCATCATCATCGCCATCATCATCAACATCATCATCCGCATCATCGTCATCATCACCATCGGCAGCATCTTTCATCACCATCATCACCACCATCATCATTCTCACCATCATCACCATCATCATCACCATCACCACCATCACCATCACCATCGCCATCATCATCATCATCATCATCATCATCATCATCATCGTCATCACCAACATCATCATAATCGTCATCATCGTCATTATCATCATCATCATCGTCATCAGCCACATCGCCGTCATGGTCATCATCTGCCAACATTGACAGCATCCACTCACGTCATCATCAGCATCACCACGATCATCACCAACAGCATCATAAACATCAACAACGACATCAACATCAACATCACCATGAACAGCATTATCATCAGAGGAGGAGGGGGGAGGTGGCAGGAGCCGGCGCGGTCGAAGTAGTACCAAGAAACCCATCCTTTGGATATAAGGAATAACAGGAACCCAATCCATGGGATATGAGAAATTCGCCGGCCCAACGGGCCAGGGCGTGCTAAGATCTCCGGTACCTGGTTAACAGTATTTCTAGTTCGCGCGCGCGGGGCGGCCCCTGGGGGTCCCCGGACGAAAAGTACCCCGGCAAGGTCCCGGCAAGTCCCCGGCAAGGTCCCGGCAAGTCCCCGGCAAGGTCCCGGCAAGTCCCCGGCAAGGTCGGGCCAGAGATGCCGGAGCCCTGTTACAGGGCCCCAGGACGGGCCAAGAGGTCCCCAAGAAGCCTCCAAGACGGTCCAAGAGGGCCCCGAGACGGCCAAAGATCGCCCGAAGACGCCCAACAGGGCCCCAAGACAGCCCAAGAGGCCTCCAAGACGCCCCAAGGGCCTTCCAAGAGGCCTCCGAAGAGGGCCCCAAGAGGCCAAAATCGTTGATTTTTTTTTTTTTCGATGTTTTTTGCGTTCTGGCTTTTTCGGCTTCCGGACGCTCCAAGACGGCCCAAGAGGCCCCCAAGACCGCTCCAAGACGGCCCACGAGGCTCCCAAGACGGCCCCGGAACGGCCCAGGAGGGCCCCCAAGACGGCCCAAGTGCCGCCCAAGACGGACCAAGAGGCCCCAAGACGGGCCCAAGAGGGGCTCAAGAGGAGAACCGAGAACTGAAAAATCGAGCCCTCCGCCCCAGAAGGCGCCCAGGGGGCCCCCAAAAGGCCCCAAGAGCCCCCAAGAGGCCCCCAAGACGCCCCAAGAGGCGCCCAAGAGGCCCAAAAGAGGCCCCAAGAGGCCCAAAAACGGCCCCCAAGAGGCCCCAAAACTCGGCTAGCCCACAACGGTGCGACAATATGGGCCGGCGGAATGAGCGAAGCGATTAAATAAGAATACAATCGTAGGATATGGGGGACAAATAACCCTGCGAAGGACCCAACCATGTGCAACTGTGAGTAACGCAGTTGTGAGACTCGTCTTCGGTGGAGTTCCCTATGGGACCACGAAACGTGTGAGGGGTGTGCCGAAACCGGTGCGGCGGGTGAATGCGAACGCAGCCACTGGGGCCTTCGGTGGAGCTCCTTATGGACGAACGAAGAAAAGTGTGAGGGGTGTGCCGAGGTCGGTGCGGCGGGCGCATGCGAACGCAGCCACTGGGGCCTTCGGTGGGACTCCCTATGGAGCCGTGAAGCGCATGAGGGGTGTGCCGAAATGGGTGCGGCGGGCGCATGCGAGCGCAGCCACTGGAGCCTTCCGTGGAGCTCCCTATGGGGCCACGAAGCGTGCGAGGGGTGTGCCTGCATGGTTGACTGGTGCGGGGTGCCGAGGCAGGGACGGGAGGAGGGAGGAGCGGAAGGAGGCGGGAGGGAGGGAGGGAGGGAAGGACGCGAACAAACCAGGATGAGGAGCTGATGATGGGGACGGGGTCTACGGTTAGGAGCTGTTGCTCAGCACGTCGCGGCGGCCTCCCTGGCGACGCGCAAGACCCTGCCAACAGGTAGCGTGTCGCTCCGCTCCGCGGGGTGAGCGGCTCGGACAAGCTCGGGGCGTGGACGCCCGGGGACTGGGACGTGCGTGGCGCGTCGCGCCGAAGCGTGGTGGGCCAGAGCGGGCGGCGCGCCACGCGGAGCCAAATTCCCCGACCGTGGACCTCGGGGGCCCGACGCTGTGAGGAGAGCACGACGGAGGAGGTCTGGGAACGGCCCTCTCTCGGAACCGGTCTCCGCCCCGCCCAGTTCCGCGGGGCCCCTCGGCAGCCCCGCTCTTTCGGGGCTGGTGAAGTCTGCCGTTGGAACCGGCGGTCTCCTTTTGAAGCGACAAGTTCCACCAAACAAATTCGTGGGGCCGGTAGACCGCCCACCCCCCTTTTTCAGGCACGCGCCGAGATCGGCTAGGGATCTGTGGATCTGGGAACGTGACCCGCGAATATTGGCGACAATGCTGACTGACTTGGCGACGGAGCAGGCTGATGTGGCATGGAAGCGGGACCCGTCGCTAATCAATGCGCCTTAACCCTTCTTTGCGTTTCCTGCATGTCGGACAGGTTGAGCATCCCTTTGGGAGTGCCCCCCCCCAAGGAGGTGCTCCTCCAAGTGATCGTCATTGGGTCCACCATTCTCAGGTATTCGTTCGCTCGTTCAGAAATTGATTCGTCGATTCACTGACTCATTGATTCACTCAGTCATTCCCTCGCTTGGTCATTCACCCTTCTCTGAATTCCCAACCAAAACTCTCACTTACGGGCCTTTCAATGGCATCTCGGCACGGGATAGAATGTGCCGTCAAATGCTCATGGCGACATGATGCGCCCAGGGATTGCGCCATGGGGTGTGGCCACAGGTTGCGCCATACGTGCTGCTGAATTTTCGTGGACATGGGTTGCGACCATGGGTTGCGGCCACGGGTAGCGCTGTGGGATGTGCAACTGGGTTGCGCCGTGGATGCGGCAGACTTTTGGTGGCGGTGACGGAATTTTGCCGATGGCTTGGAACATTGGGTGCAGCTGTAGGTTGCGTCAAGGGTGCCGCTGATGCTTCGTGGCCACGGGATGCGCCTCATAGGTCGTGGTAATATGTTGTGCTATCGGTGCTGCGCAATTTGCGCAGCCATGGGTTGCCGGATTGCGCCATGAAATGTGGCCAAACCTTGCACCATGGGTGCCGCTGGCTTGTCACGGCAGAGGGCTGCCCCTATGGTCTTCGTATTAGTTGTGCCGACAAGTTGTTCTATGGATGCCGCTGATTTGCCGTAGCCACACATTGCACCTATGGTGTTGCGCCATGGGTTGCACTATGAATGCCGCTTGCTTTTTGAGATCATGGGTTGCTCCCGTGGGTTGCGGGCATACGTTGCGTCATTGGTGCAATCGAATATTATGGTCATGGGTTGCGCCCATGGATTGCGCCATGGATTGCGGTCACATGTTGCGCCATGCAGGCAACTGTTTTTTCTTGGTCGTGGTTTGCGCCATGGGTTGCGCCATGAGTGGGGCATTTATTTGGGTGTCATATTGCTTGGCGTTGTTTTTCATTGACTTGCGTCGCGTTGTGCTGACTTGAACAGCTGTGCGTTGCGTCAGATTCGTTACGCTAACTCTATGCTTGCGGTCCTTGCTGGGGTTGTCTCCTTCAGATCACGGGTATTCCGTTGACTGCCCGATCCCGTTGACTTAGAAGTATTCGCGTTTCGTTTTTAATTTGCTCATATTGTTCGTGCCTCGTTTCGTTTGACCGCTCATTCGCCCTTTCCGTTCGCTCCCAACCGAAGATGTTGAAAACAACCTCTCAGGGCAAAAGCAACGGCACACCAGAAGCGACATCGAGTGCGGGCATCAGGCGCCCCCAACATCAACCACCATCGTCGCCGTCGTTCCAGCCCGTGGTTAACGCTATACCCCTGGATCCTGGATCGCATGCCTCTCCTGCCTTCCTGTCCCATCCCAGCCCCTACGGATGTCTCCGAACCCCACATCCTCCCGACTTGCTCCCCGCATTGAACCCCTAATCTTGCACACCTGTGTATCTCTGCGCCCGCACGCGTGCTGCCGACACGCGAAACTTTCTGAGGGTGCAGGGCACCTGTGTTTCGAACGGGCGTCTTTGTGGAGGTCGCCCCCCGAACGCGCAAGTGCCCCAGTCGTGGACAGGAGGCCTCTTGGAGGCATGAGGGGGTCTGTCGGGGCGCCTCTCGGAGGCCTCTTCCAAGCCTCTT